ACTGGGCCCCCAATCCATTCAAAAGCATTGCCTTTTGTCGCCACATCGTATGGACGTAATTATATGCTAAGCAGTGGTGCAATGCATTGTGTGATGCAATACCACTTCGGGGGTGTCTTTGAAAGCAATCAAATGTTGTGCGAGTTATGCATAGGTTGGCCATCAGTTGGTTCCTGATTGCGATTATTGAAGCAAATCCTCACCTAAACTCTAACCATAAGCTGTGAACGACAAACGCCCCCAAAGGGTGCCGACAAACAGACTGATGAACACATTTTTATGTCATAAAGTGTCACAACTATTTAACTCTAAGAGAGTAGTCAAAGACTGGTATAAAGTAGAACCGGTCCTCTACAGCCTCTAACATGTAATTATCGGCGCTTCAAATGAATAAAACGGTGGCACAGACTTAAGACACATTTAATTTATATAATAATTATTTTATTTACTGAGTTTCAGTCCGATTTCATGATTTACTAAAATTAAATCATTGCCTCTAAACCGCAAAATAACTTAAAACTTATTTACAATAGATTTACATAATTATGAGTGTATTATGACTTCTAGGAGTGTTCGATGACTTTAACTCCTAGTGTTCATAGCTATCGACTGCATGTATAAGAGTTTCACTTCGACTTTAGGCCTATTCTCGAAAAGTGCGGCTCGATTCTGGACTTCTCCCCGTTTCACCCAATGATGGTATACCCGAAAAGCGCACCCGTCGATAGCCTATCAAATAAACAACCATTTAGTACCGTATATGCAGTGATAATAATTGCATTACTTTTCTTAAAGTCTTAATCCTATAGGGATTAATCTTCGCCATCTCTAGACTAAGCGGTTCCGGAGTATACTTTAATCTCATGATGCGAATCATCGCCCGCACAGCCATTATCGCCAATTGAAATGTCTTGCGGGCATTGAATGGACCGACACGTGCGCGCTATTGTCACACAAAATACCATACATTATAATCACATAAATAATACTTAAGTACAAGTCTTAAGACATACCACGGCCTGAAAGAAGCTGTGCTTTAAGGCTTCGGTGGCACTAATCCTCTCGTTTGGTTCGATAACCAATAATTTTTTAATCTGTATTCCAAACATCAAAAACCAATCATAGAATTAATGACACATTGTTTCACACAAATTAATCATTTAATGACTGACGAGATCTTTGGGCTGATCTGTGATGTCATCCCATTCGGGGCTACAGAACTCGTATTTGCCTTCCATTATATTCCTCAACATAACCATCTGTTTCCTGTGCCAGA